CACTGGACACTCCAGCGAGTGATAAAATAACGTCCGTATCAATAATAACCGTGTTAAGACAACTAAAAGATAATAGTTATTTTTTAACCGCCTGTTGTTATTGCGGTGCCTGTGGAACGGAGTAGCGATTTCACGAAAACAAAAAAACGTGTTCGACACGGCCTTGACCTCATAGAACTCTTTTAATTTTATTTCAAGACTATACTTTTTCAATAAAAAAAACATTTTCCACGGCAATACCGAGCGCCTCGACACAACGTACGATTTTCTGTAAAATTTCACCGAGTACCGACATGATTTTGTAAAAAAAAAATATCGAACAACACGTGGCGATAATTTGCGTAGTCGGCAATTTATTAGAATTGTACAGTAACTTGTTGTCTTGCGCCGATTACAGTAAAATATTGCAAATTTACAACGCCGTCGCGTTGCTCGAGCGGCACTGGACACACGAGACGTTATTTGGAGAGTTAAAAACGACTCGATCACTGTGATTTGGATGCACCGATTCCTAAAAAAACATCTAAACGCTATTAGTGTGCACGGAATCCGATAATTGAACGCGCCCGACGGAAAACACAGAAGGCACTGTGCAAATACTACACGGAATCACAACGGACAAGGCGCCTCGTCCGCTGTTTATGATAATGAGTTGGGTGTAAAGATGTTTTTTTACTGACGAGAAACCGCCGTAGCGCCGGGTAAAAAATCAACGAAAATCATTTAATCGACACACATTTGGGCGGAGTCGGACCTCGACGTACACGACGTTATTATTGCTGAGAGCCGCAACACGACCGAACCAGCAAACGGTAGGAAATTAAGCAAAAACGACAAATACCATAGACTGCGGTGCGTCTCTCCTCTTCGACAACCGTATGAACTGTTACGGTTACCGGAGGAGAGGTCGTCACACACCTGACGACCGTGTAATTCATTCAAACGCGTCTATTATAATTATTATCATTGCCTGTTGGCATTATAAATCAAACGCCACCGGCTTGTCGCAAGTTCAACGACTGTTTTATTGTTATTTTTCCATACACAACAGATCGTGTGGACTTTCGACTTGGCAAAACCGCAGCGATTAATTATTTCTTTCGAAACAGCCCAGTTACCGAGAGAACGACTCTATGGATTTCTTCGTTTGACGGATTCTCCATAGGGGCCCCCAACACCGAAACCAACCGCCATAAAAAGTTTCCAATATGAAATATTACATTCACTCCTAATATTCCTGTCAAACTCGGAGGCGGCAGTCTAGAAATAAAAATCTACCATAATAAAAATATATTATTCTCGGAAATCCACCAGAAAAACACATTAAAAAACGGGCAAAACCACCGACGGCTATGCATAGTGAATTTCGTGACTACCGGCGAGTCATTCATATACCAATAAAATACTGGTTCCTGGCGACGACTATTTATTTATTTTTTCCACGTCCAACACTCACCGGCAAACTATTTCATCGAGTTGTTTATACTTAAAAAAAACTATACGAAATCGGTAAATTCGTTAATAATTTCGTCACAACAATCCCATTCTTGATTTCGCTTCTTTGGTCGGATAACATGCAAATGGTGTGTGTATATACAGAGTGTTCAGTAAATAAGGAAACGAATTTCTATTGTACTCATTGTTTGTAACAATTTAACTGTTTCCTAACTTACTCAACACCCTATATATATATATATTATCATTATCCAAGGCCACGGACGTTTTTAACTCGTTTTCGTAATGCGGTCCACTCGCATCGCCGTGTGTATTGTGTTTTAGGCTGTTGGGTGACCACCCCTCGTTAAAAAACACAATCGCCCAGCGAATAAACAAAAAAAATCATCGGTCAACCCGTTAAATTGGCACACGACTTATTGTGTTTATTATAATTTTTTCAAATATATTATGTATGTTTTTGCGATAAATCACAATTAACGGCGTTCGTATCGACAAATGATTTATGACTGTCGTGGCCCGACTTGTCAGGTCGAACAGCGCCGCGTGGGAGGACAAGTCTTCCGATACAGAGCAAAGCGCGTACATCACGTTTCCATTTACCTAATAATTGCTTTTTGAAACACATTATTCGAAAAGCGCAACAATAAGGACATATGAAATATTACACGAGAGACGCGAACGGGCACAAAAACGCGGGGGGTCAATGTACTTTTCGGTTAAAAACTCAATTAGCCCAAACAAAGCGAAACTACTCCGTACACGTTCTTCTGTCCAATTTGTCCAACACAATACAATTTATATTGTTATACGGCGACGCTGGTTAAACACACAACAGTAATAAATATAAGTTTGGGAACACTTGAAAACACCGAGTCGGCCGCCGACTAAACGCCCTCCTCGCGTACGCTTTTTCCATTGTTCAAGGGCAATTACAACGAAAAAAAAAAACACATGTTACTACTGCCATCACGAATGGTCTTGGAAATGTTCTTGATTTCGCGGAAACGTTTCGCAATTATCTAAAAACATACACCCAGTACAGATCATCGTTTGTTTATATTTGGGAGGGGGGAAATTATGGGCAGATTATTTTGCAAAACGTCACGTTTCCGATAGATAATTACTAAACAATGAAACTTACCGGCACAGCCAACACGCTGTCATAGTGTGCCGAGCACAAAAGAGCGATTTCGACTAGTTGGCGGATGACACGCGATTCATTGTTTCGATTAAAAAACGTTATTATCGACAGACTCGTCTTGGCGCGAACGGCGGCACCCGAAGTTATTTTCAAGGCGATACTACGAGATAAAAGGTATAAACTAACAGTAAACAATAGTCGTTGTGTGTTGAACGAGAGTTGGACCATTAAGAAATTCACACGGATACTGAGCGATTAAGGAAAAAGTCGTATCTACTCATCTTTCTCCACTACAATATGCGCCAACAGTGTTCAGGTAACATAAACTACGCACGTTTTGAACGGTTGCCCGAAAACTCGTTGTACACATCATATTCCGTGTAGGTTTCCGGGAGACGGTGTTTTTTATAACTGGTGTACACAGCAGACGAGATTCGGGAAACGTGCACTACGAGTTAGTAATACAAACGATTCCAATGAGATTGACCCACGACGTGGGTAATTGCCGGTTTTCTCCGAGAACACTGTTTTTCAAATTATAATATTATGTTTACTCGAGTGTTGGTATTTGCGGTGGTTTTTCCTTGGAGCGACGAAACAAGGATGCGCGCACGAGTAAATTAATCGTAATAGGGGAGGGGGAAGGGGAGTAATTAACGCTTGGTCCGCGATGATATTGTCTATTTTCCGGTGTGGTGATGGTGGCGGTGGGGGTGGTATTGTTGAAGACAACACACACGCGGCGTTCGTTGATTCGGTTCACGAATTTCCCCTCTCGGTAATAACACCGACGGAATTAAACGTATCCAAACAATACACACCGACCAGAGTTTCATTCGGACTGCACGATCGTGTACTTCGGAAGAAGTCGAACTATACCTGTACAATACACCGGATAATCACTGGTATGTGAAACAGAACCGCGGTCGAGTTCAGCCCAAATTAATGCGATGATGAATTTATTGCCAATACAAAACGACCGCTTGATTATGATTGTTTGAACGGCGAAACACAACGCAGGTGCATTTTTTTCCTTGTAGAACGTTGACAAAGAGGGGCAAAAAGTGAACGTGCGTGTCGCATGGAGAGCAAGTGGCAAGTCAACGGAAAGAGAGTTGTGTCCGAGACGCAACACGTCAGTTGGTTTCGAAAAAAATGAACCGTATTCACGTGAATAATAAAACGGTGCACCAAAATTAGGTCGGATGAGTAAAAAATTAGAAAAATAGGCGCCGCCATCGGTAGAATTTCACACGGTATGTCTCGTGTTTCTGCGTTATCGTGTTTTTTTTTGACCTCCAATAAAACAATACGCACAACGTTGACCAATTAAATAAAATTCGAGATAACCTTTAAATTAAAAAAATCGTATTTGCNCATCGGTAGAATTTCACACGGTATGTCTCGTGTTTCTGCGTTATCGTGTTTTTTTTTTACCTCCAATAAAACAATACGCACAACGTTGACCAATTAAATAAAATTCGAGATAACCTTTAAATTAAAAAAATCGTATTTGCATGTAGAACCGAATGTCTACGGTGCTCACTGATGAAATTCGCTTTTTAATTGCCATTGTGATTGCTGAAGCAATTTCAATAGCTGCCAACTAATAGGAATGCCGCTGTGAATAACATAATTTACTACATAAATATTATTTATAACCGCACGTTGTTTTACTGGGTAAAATCAATACATCATTCCACTGAAATATAGTAATTACAGGTAAACCAAAGTCAATGAATAGATGCAAGTTCCATTTAAAACTTGACATTTTATTGCTTTTATATATTTAATTACATGGGTCGATAAAAATATACTTATACAAATTAAAGTTTTATTTTATAGGTAAATCAAAGATGCTAAGTAGTTGACAACATTTTCCCAACGCTTGAAAAATGTCAATAGGCCATTTTACTTATCATTCCACTCTTTTACTATGATTTATTTTTTTTTAACTACTCCTGTGTTCGAAGTAAATTTCAAAAACATTTTATTCGTAAAGTTTCAGGACTAGGGATTTTTTTCTCTTATATCGTTGGACCTCTACGATTATAGATTATGCGCGTACCTTAATAGGTGTGAAAGGCGTATAAGATAAAAAACAAAACATTGACCAATTTAAAAACGACAGGACCATCACACACTCATGTTTGAAATAATATGTGTATCAAAGGTATTGGCGGGAAAATAATGTTAATAAACCAGTTTTTTGTGAGAGTATTTTTTTTTTTTTTTTTTATAGTATTTTAACTGAAAAACCAGTTTAGTGCGATTCAACATTGTTAATGGCGATTACCGGAGTTGAACAAAATCTAACTGCCGCCTCGCAGGAAATGCCGAAAAAGTGATAAAATGTATTTGGGCGTCAGAGAATAGAAAATGAATATCGTAAAACACTTACCGGGTCGCCGAATAAGCCTGTGGATTCCTTCATTCCATTCAGGCCCGAGAGTGTTGTCACTTCATGACTCCTGAAACAGATAAAAAATGATTATTTCACACGATATAAATGTTTTCAAAAAGTACAGAGCGGGTCTTGTTATTTTTACGCGTCATAAACCAAATTGATTGACCGCCCCTTATCGTGAGCGCCGTGCAATGTACATGCGTTATTATACGGCAAAGTCGTTAAATGACATTAATATTAAACGTACTGAACCGGAGCCAAGTTGGCCAAAGGCCCGTATATTTTACCATGGAATAATAACAACAATGAAATTATTAACGAGTCCTGTAGTTGATTCTGAGGGAGGCGGTACCGGACGCAAAATAAATTGTGTAGAAATCGTCAGGCGGAACTAGAGGTGGCAAAAGGAAAACCTACTGCGGACACCCAATTAGCGTTGTGTCGAATGCCGTCAAACTGTTGACACCCACAAAGTACTTAACAACAATAATAATAATTAGTTAACACTCTCGGACGTTAATTACACGTTGCTCGATCTGCAACGCCGTTTAGAGTCTGAGCAATACTACCGCCGCGGACAGTGTACAACAAACATAGACAACCTTATTATCGTTAGATTGTTTTTTTATGCGCAATCTAATTTCAGCAGTATTATCGAAACAATTAAACTATGTCATTACCCGGAAATGTGTTTCATATTTTTTAAACTCTCGACGACACGTACTCGGTGGTAATGAACAAACGAGAATAGGAAGACACGTATGATCACTAGCTCGTTATTATATGGTAACAGGTAAAGCGGATATCTCATATTGTTAAAAAAAATGTCTGCATGAATAATTGGGCTGGGAATCGGTCGAAAAACAAATGATAATTTCATTATAATGTTAGTCATTGGTTACACACAAGTCTTGATAAAATTGGTATCGATAAAAACAAAGCGATAAAAAACGACCTACTAATAGTTTTCACTTTTTTCTCTTAGGTTGTCATTTCGCTGTTACCCTTCGTTGCTTTCTAATCACTCAACGCCGAAAAACTATCCGGCTAAACGGTCCGAGGAATCTTTAACAGCTATTTGATTACTTAGCCATTACGATAACATTATAATTAATTACACAGTACTCGCCGACAAACTAAATAATTGAAGACACTCGGCAGAGAACAAATAAAAGTAAAAAAAAAAATCCGGCAGGCATTAAAGAGAAAGCGAGAAGTCAAGTACCTGTTAATATAGTTGTTAAGAGTAATAAAAACAAAAAGTTTCTGAAGCACAATGCTCACTGTACGTGGCAAGCGCGTAGGCTTAGGTTACGACAATTAATCGTCGACCTCGTGACTAAAACCAATAAAAATAACAATGTTGGTCAACAATCGTCATCATACTGTTGTTGGGTGTTACTTTAACCACTCCGTTATAATTCAATAAAATGTAATGAGCGTTTCGTTAGTTTTGAAAGTGCTCGTTAATTTGCGTATTAGCGTCATGAAAACGAAAACTTTGACATTTCAGATAGAAACTACTTTTGGTTGAGAATTAAAGAATTTTAGTACAAAAATAGCATTAACGTTTATACAATTAACATGACGAGTTTACAAGATCACCACTGTCGAATAGTTTCTTTAGCAGCTTATGGGTACAAAAAAATAAATAATTTTTTAATACGAGCGCAACCACAAGACCAGAGGGCATACATCAAAAAACATTTCTTTGGCGTTCTCACAGAAAAGAAATTCTATCGAACAATCAAGTCAATACAAATGATTTCATCGCCAGAAAATCCTTGACAAATCACGTCTTAATTAAAAAAATGCTGAACTATATATAAGAAGCAATTGAACATGCTGTAAAATTGATTTTCTCGTAACAAAAACAATTATCATATTATGTTATTTTGAATATTAAGACAGACGTTTAAAATGATAATGATGAAATTTAAATAACTGCATCTTAGCGAATTACGTTCTCGTGTTTTTTAGCTTAATTGATCAATTCAAAAACTAGTAGCTGCGTTTTTTTTACATTCAGAAATTACATTTGCGATGAATTATTAACGTTTAAAATCACCTACCCACACAGTAATATCATTCAATAATACACCATGATTTCATTTATTATGAATACAAATAATTTATCATTTACCTTTTAATATGTCTAAAAATATAAATAATATATAGTCGTCGACAATAACTTTTGGACTAGTATTTCGGTTCAAGTTATTGACATTTTATGTGATCGGCAAGACGCGAGGTGTTGTTATCATTATTATTTTATTATTGTTATCATTATTCGTCGTTTCCTGGCCGTACTCTTAGTCCCACTTCGGTTTAATGTGTCAAAAACTTCTGAAATGCTGGTCCAAAAGCTGTTATCGATCAGAAATTTTCTTAATTATATCATTATCTATTAAATACGCTAGTTAATAATGTATGTCGTCGTTTAAAAAAATAAAGTTGACACCTTTATAAAGTATAAAGGATAAACATAAAAAATACTTTATGATTGATAAATTAAAAATAACATATACCTAAAGAGACAAAAAAAATATCTCAATATTATTTTCATTTTTTGATTAATTAAAAAGAATTACCTGTATGTGTCATTCTACATTCTATAAAATATAAGAGAAAATATATGAATGATAAAATATGACTAAAAGGCAATTCTTTCATAAATAAAATGTTGTCTTAAAGTATAATATACATAACAATATACTATATTGGAAAACACTCAAACAGACACATATTTCTAAAGTTTCGGCATCACGATTACCTATATAATATGTACACACACAACTATATCAAGAAATCAATACGATTACAAGATAAAAAAAAAAAATATGTACTCTGCACTCAGTCATTTCTATATTGGAATAACGAAAATTCTTCAACAAATAAAATATACATTTACCAATGTTATGCTGGAATACTGTCATGTGTCAAGTTTAATAGATTAATTTACATACAGTTTGATTAAATTCTTAAACCGATAAAAGATAATTGAAATAGAATTATACATTTTACACTGTTTTGTTGTTGAATACTCTTTGTTTTATTATTCAAGTGCTTTTGAAAAGCACTCGAACAGTACTTAGGCCTAACGGCTGAGATATTAAAGTAGTGTTAACCATTTAAAAAGACACAACAAACAATGAATACGAATTTAAATAATAAAATTAATTTTACAACTCGGCGTTAATCACTGACGATTATAATAATAATAATAATAATAAACATACAATACAATAAAAAACACTAATCGAAACATATTACTATTATTCAGTAAAATAGTTTTAATGAGTAAACTTACTCCCTAAAAACAAATTAACAATTAGCATCGTTAACAGTTTTTTTTTATTATTTCTAGTGCAACAAGTGAAATCAAACAGTTGTTTTTGGAATTTCTTTATGCGTATCACGACTGCTAATTGTTTGGATGCAGTAAAATGGAATTGGACGACGTGTTCTGTAATGCCCCGCAGGTTTAATTAATCGCCATTGATAATTTATAATAAAAACATGGCAATGCAGTCAAAATATTATTCATTGCCACCATAAAATAGTAGTAAATAAAGAACTATATTCATGTTAATCAACCAAACCGACACAAGTTTAAATAGCGGATACACTGTCTGATGCAGATGAGTTAAGCAAGTTCTATTTGTTGATTATTAATTTATTGAAAAAATGGTCCTAATTTTAACATTAGTTTAACTTTTAATAATTACAGAAAAAGTAATAGAATAATTATATAATTTGATATTGGCGAACTGTTTTTTTTTTAATTATCAAATAAGATAAAACATTAACCAACTTCAATACTCTAGAGATTGAGAAATAAACAAAATATAACTAACGAAGGGATTTTCATATTAATTTTATATTACCTTGAGAAACAAAAAAGCAAAGCACAATTATTTAAATAGGATCTCGTATTCCATTTATTTGTTGAACACCAATTAAGCATAATTTCACCTTAGATTATAGGTAGACTCATTAACTCTATTTCTTTTACTAACATCAAATATCTATACAGGTTGTCAAGGCCAAGTCAAGCTATTGTTCGAATGTTTTGCTCAAAGTATAATTATGAAACCAAAATCTAAAATGGATTTCATTACCAAAAAATAAAAATTAAATAACGACTACTAAAAAGTACTATTCTAAAAATGATGAAATTCAGATAGTTAAAAGTTTAACACCTTTTATTTATTTGTGTAGTAATTTATTTACTCTAATCTGTTAACGATACGTAACAATATCGAATGAATATATATTCTATTTTTTAATATTCTAGAATATTGAACACAGTTAATTATTCTAATTCAAAGCTACAAAATTAATCAGCTAACCAAACACCATCCAAGAACAAGGGAAACTAAAATAATTAGAAGATGAGTGAATCTCTGATCTGTTTTAAACAGATATTGTTTTATTACAATAACGTGACTTCTCGAGAATTCGCCATTTGAATTTATGTAAAACCTTAAAGTTAATAAGATGTTTCAAGCGAATATTATTTAGAGCAATATAATCTTAATTTATTGACAAATATGAAATTATTACATAATTAAATAGGAATCTATTAACTATTTATGGTTTAAATGTTTAAACACGAATTCACTTTGTTGAGTTGATAACTAATTAGTGTCATTACATTCAATCGTATCCGAGAGGTTAATTTTTCCCAGCGCTCGATATTCTGTAATTACAAAAGCCAAATCGTTTGTAAAAATAACTGACAGTACTGTGGCAGGTTTAGAAATTCTAAAGAAAATGTTCAGTTAAATATAAATACTAAGGACGCGACTACTGACTAGTAAAATTTCGTTGAAACAGATTCAACTTGTGAGTATTTAATTCGAATACGATTTAAAATCCATTTCACCTCTGTGTCCTTAGAGAACCTTAACAGAGACGTCATTCAACGGAATCGACATTAATACCGCGGACGGCTTAAAATTATCCATTACATTAATTCCACCACCGCTTTAATATTTTTATCAAACATCTATATTTTTTACTTGGTATAAGCGACGACTGCGTCAGCAATCGTTACCACTCGTATTTTTTTTAAATGCATTATACGAACACGTTTTATAACGCAACTAATAATCACGGAATCATGATTTTGCTATTATACGTTTAAACTTGGTGTATAATGACAATAATTATTATTAAACGGCAAAAAAAATCTAGATAGTAGAATTGTTGAGATAATTTTCACGAATCCAGACGGATTTTGATAATTGTCTCGCGCCAAAGTGCTACAACAACCTTGTTCTATTTAATTGCAACACATCTTTTATACTGACACTAACTGTAGTATGATATTTGTTTATTCACAATGAGGATTTCATTGTGGTTAACATTTCTCAGGAGAACTTTTTTTTTCAATGTACATCGAAATTGCGTTTGAAAATTTTCGTTAACAATTATTTCTAATCCATGTGAATAAACATTTTTCTTAGATAAATTCAGCGCAAAAGTAACATCCAGACAAAAGAAAAAAGGTTATTAAGAATAATACGATCTAAGAAAGGCAAATGGATGTGTATTGACATTTGAACTACATGGGCGTACTTCATAAAGGTTGAATTTAATTTTGTACGGATTACAAAAAGAAATTTGGGTATAGACAAACATTCTGTTTATTGACCTGTACATATGCAATGATAAATATATAAATGTCAATAATTGGATCCAAGTCAGATAGTATCCAGTAAGGAGATCTCAACAAGAAATATAACAGTTGCCGGAGTGATGACAAAAGACCGAAACGATAGAGAAAAAGATATCGCTAAAGACCACGTGGAACATGCAGCTTACTGTCTCACGTACAATTTCGTCATGACAAATTCAAAAATCTTCCAAAAAAAAAAAAAAATGGAAAAGACCAAAACAACGTTGAAAATAAACACGTGGCGTTACGAGTTAAGAATAATAAATGATTAGTTTAAATAATGCGCAAATACGAGTACAATCTATCCGGAGTACAAACTGCACAGAGCGCATGTTTTTTATAATCTGTCGGCAACGCGATTTTCATTTCAAAGTCATCACATTCTTGACGCCCCACGTGATCGGCGTAGAAAAAACATAACGGCATAGCTACCGTTGGAGTCCTGCAATAATTGATCGAGTATAGTCATGTTTTTTTTAATGCGCACACTATATGACAATAGAGCTTAACGGCAAAGGTCAGTGAGTAATCTGAAATAGCGTTTTCGATGCAAAGCGGAGTCTCCCGAGGGGTATTCTAAGGGATTACCGAGAAAAATAACAAAAGGAAAAGTGAAAGTGTTAAATCTTTAAGTTAAATGTTTCTTTTTTTTTTTTTTCACAAAGTGTTGGGCTTTGTTAGCTCAATAAGCATATTGTTTTTTCCAACTAATTCGGAAACTAGTTAAAATACCTTCCAAAAAAGTTTTAATTTCGTACTGAAATTTGAAGTAAAAGTTTTTTTACTTGTTTCGAATATAAATGGCGACAAGGTTTTATTAAGCATAGTGAAACACTTTACAGGAAATTTCAAATTAACATTAATCTGGGACTATATTCTAAAATTGTCATTGTTAATAAGAAATTTACATACTTTTTTCATTATATTCGACTCGTTCACGTGTTATAACTATAAACCAGACCGAAACAATACAGTGCGTATCTGGCGGTTTCAAAAAATGTGTATTAACCGATTTTTGAAAGGATTACTCGTGTGCTGCAATGATAATAAATAAAAAAATATGAATGAAGACCAAGCAGTAGGTTGTACGCAGCACTAATACATATGTACAGGAAACATAATGGGACATTGTTATAACATGTATATGTGTATGTATTTATCTGTGTGTTATTACCATATTATGATGTTTGTGGGTAGCTTATCGAATAATTAATGAGGCGTTTAATACAGTCCATATTGTACCAGAAACTCGAATTAAATTATAAAATCGGAGCTTTGTTGTATACACAACTCGATGGTGGGCACATTAAAATAAATCACTTAACAACAACCGAGGAGATACCGGTCGTTGTTGTTGTACTAGGAACGTCTAGTCAAATTACTAATTAACCAGTTCGGCCCCATGCAAGTACGCTATGTATCCAATACGGCTCGCAAACTCTACAAGTCAGCACCGAAGAATCTGAGGATACATGGCGATGATTTCAGTCGGGTAAAGTTTCGTGCGGAATGAGGCCGCAGACAATAATAGTAAATGTGACGGGGGCCCAGCAAATGCCAAGGTCGACCGGTAGAGAATGTCAATTACACACAGAGCGAACGGGCAAGGCGGCTTCTAACAGAGTAGGATTGGAAATTCACATTCAACAGTTCCACTCCTCTTACACATACAGAAAATAGTGGTCATTGAAATACAAACAATCTATAGATTACACGATCGCGAACACAGTGTGGCCTCCAATCGGATAATCGTACTGGATTCTTTACACAGTAAAAAATAGTTTACGCGTACAAGAGTTTCACGAAAATATAACAACGGTTTTTTAGTTTTTTACACGCATGGCACGCGTTTTCAGTCGCACCAACACGGGTTAGTACAACAACAATAGTCGCGACATTTTTCACACATGAGATTATTGGATGGGTATTCAATTTTTTATACTAATCATTGACATCTGACGCGATAGTGACACGCGTCGACCTAGGTCGTTTTTCTCCAACATTTGTTCCCTTAAAACTTAACACACTGCTACCGTTCCTAAGTCCACCCACGCGCGTTTGCGGCCATCATTATTCACGTTCGTATCTACATGTACACGTGTATGCCTTAAGTACTGTAACAGTATGTACACACATGATACATGTGACTGTGTACACGAAATGATTTATTATTTAGCCCTGCGAATTCCTATGTGTATGACCAGTCGTCACTCGTTTGTTATTACTATGACCATATTATTTTTACTCTCAAATATAACGATTCTCGATAAAACGAACTTCTCATTAAAATCTAACGACCAATGAAAGCAGCAATCGATTCTCTAATCAAAAACATTAAACGTAACGATTAATCGCAACTGGTATTTCTAAATTAATAGCCATATTTAAAAAAATCTACTACACTATTTCCCTGCCGAAGAAGAAAATTCGTTCATCAAACAAACATGATACAAAACAGTGACAAATCATTTTAAGTTGATTTGTTTAAGGTGATTTTAAGTTAACCCATTACAGATTTGTCCATTAAGTAATTACATCAATGTACTATTTCAAGTTTACGGTACACTTCAAAATGTCTACTAAAGTCTTTGAAGATAAAATATCGAAGAAAATGAAATGTAAAACATTAAAACAATTAGATAAGCTAGAACATGGTATGGGATCACTAAACATTTACACTGAATATTGTGAGATCATAAAAGAAACAAAATATGTCGAACTGAATTATATTAAGATAGTTGCTATTTAATTGAAGAGAGAACAAAAAAAGGAACCGTAAAAAATCAATGTAAAGAAACCAGTTATTCTATTTAATCAATAATCATGGTTACCAATCAAGCATGCAAAAAAAAAAAAAAATCATATACTACTAACACGTCTTGAAGGAAATAAAAACATAAACACTACAATACACTCATTTCATCAATTAAATAAGTTAAGAAACGTTTGATCGTAATATTTATTTTACAAAAATTTCATTTTTAAATACGATGTTTAATTTTATTTCATTATTTTTTAAAAATATGTATTTTTGTAGTTAGTTAAAATTAGAAATTAACGATTACTATTATTATTTTAAATAATGATACATAAATTTAGTTAATTATGAACAAAAAATCCGTAAGTAAGTAAGTTTATTTTAACCATTAAAAGTATTTGTAGAAACTTAGCATAAATAATTTTAAATGTAAATATTTTGTGAATAACAAAATAATGTAAAGAAACTATTACTGCACCAGAAAAGGTTTTGTTCCATGTTTCTTTATGACAAAATAATTGTATAATTAACCAATCTTCAAATATTGTTACTATCCCTAATATATGTATATATATATATAAGTAAAATCTCAGAATGGTGTGGGAAAATAGGGTAGACAGAAAGTAACACATAAAATACACACTAGACACAACACTACAGAAAAAGGTTAAACAAATAAATTTAAAAAAAGGTTTATGTTACACATTCAATAAAGAAAATTAGAACTAACAGAAAAAACTTTTCTAGTTTTACCAATTCTTTCGAGACACATGATAACGATTTGAAGTAAAACTTTGAGTTATAACAAACCCTAACAAAACTGATATTGTAACAAATTTAAAATACAGGTAAACTGAATGGCACTCTTGGTCTGAACGTGTCACTCTAGGAATAGAAAAACATGACATTCTCAATGTAAGGCATCATCATCAAGTATATCATTGGCACAAATACAATATTTTGTTAAAACATAATTTGCAATATTCAACGATTAATTTTTTTTATAACGCCCAAAATCATGCAAAAATAAAAAAACTCAGTTAATCAGGAAGTAATAATATATAATTAAAACTTTGGCACACTCATCAATGAAATAATACATAATTTGTATGTTACATCAAGTTTTTTAATTTTATTTAGTTGTCTGGATGTAAGTAAAAAATGTTTACCTTGGCTATTATGGCATTGTATTCTACGCGCAAAAAATGTATAAAATTGTGAACTCAAATGTTTATCCCAACAAACATTCATTAATTCCTGTTATGTCAACATCTATGATAACCTACGTAGTTGGCCTATGATTGATAAGCCGGTATGTGTCCGTCTGGTGTGGTGCTTTAGCACAGGAGAAGCCCGAGGTGATTTTTATAGTTATATTTTTTTTTTAATAAAGTAGTCTTGGTTAGCGTACTAACTCATTTGTATTTTTTTTTTTTTCGGAGTCGACTATATAACATTCCTTGTGCGCCAAGTATAATATATCTGTACCTTGTATTACAGGTCAGTGGTTAAATTCAAGTCATGTCTATTTATAAAAAATCAATATGGTGTTTTGTAGCGCAGATAAAATAGTACCATTGATATTTCACTAGTTGGACCAGAATAATTTAAACCGATGAGTTAACGACGGATGTAATTTAATAGTAATTTTTCGTTAAACCAATAATTTAAAAAGTACTGAGTACAACGAAAAATATATTTTTCAATTAAATTAACTTGGCAACTTGATTTTAACTGCGTCGTGAAGACTAATTCGCTAAGATAAAAACTTCATAATGATATTTATTAAAAGTAAACAAGTTTTAGGCTGACTGGAAATTACATTTTTCGTGATCAAATACTTCTCTAACGAAACAAACGTGTCGTACAATGTAAGTAATAATATGTTCAACTAAAAATAAATAAATGGATTAAAAATAAGTTTATTATGAAAAGTAGGTGCCATTTTGTGAACGCGGTTTCTAGTCGTCTCGTATATGACATATTTTTAAAACAAGTTTTTGGTGAACATTTAAAAAAATAAGAAATTCATTTTACTTTCTACGAGCGCCTTTTATAATTACACGTTCCTAGAAGAATTCGGAGAAAAAATTTAGTGTCGATTAATTTACATAAGTTCTACACAATTTGAAAAATATATGTAAATAATCGAGTAAGCATGACGTGTGGCATGCGACCAACAATTGGTTTAACAACGTATTGTTAATACGCATTCGATTTAATTTATAGCTTTGGGGTGAGATACATATATTAGATAATAATAGACAGTAGGCGGAATTTAAGACACCTTAATAGTTTAGCTACCATAATAATATCAATAATATGCATTACAGCACAACCTGTAAATCATCCTGAGGTATATCGTACATGTGCTACACTGCCGATCGTATCACATACATTATTTAGAGGGGGTTAGTAATAATGGGCTTCGATAAGGGGAGACTGTAAAATGGGGTAACATTTACGCGAATGAAACGCAAAAATCTGACGTATAAATAACCTTACACAATCGAGTCCATTATTTAGGACGTTTTTTTTTTTTTTTTTTTTTGATTATAGACAATGCAAATGAAGACAAAAACAAATTAAAAATATTTATAAAAACAAGGTCAGGGAATTATTATATAAAACCACTCATGAAGCGTGTTACGCCCTCGGGTTACTCAAAAAATAACAGGGGTGTTCAACAGAGGACATCGAGGTGAATGTAGAAATTTTAGGTTAACTTCAATACTAGTGGCGGTAACCCAATGGACACAATCAATACGAGTTGATGACTTCCTGGCACGCAAACACGAATAAAGGGGCTAAAAAACTCGAGACACGCCCTGGATTCTAAAAAAATGTTTTTAAAAATATAATAATAAGCGTTATATATTAGCGCTAAAGATATAAACTATTATGTTATATGATAATAATTTCTTGTGTAATTGACTACCCTTGTTGTAATAAGTCGAAATTAACATATGAAAGACGTTGGTGGTACGCAGCAAAACAGGTGAGCCGATGAAAAAGATTAAATAGTAAAAAAACGTCTTAAGGGTACAATGTGGTGTTACAATAGTTTTAAACATAAATCAGAATTAAACAAATAATATTATGGAAATGTAATACATAAATATCATTTTTCGGTGGAATATAACTGTTGTTAATACAACGTGAAATATTTATCTGGGAAAATATGAGACGTGAAAGAAATAGATTATTACTTCTTCATAGCAACGAGAGATTAACATCGAACTCTAAATCGCATTTATCTGTTTGATATGAAGAAGCTGTTTTATTCTGAAAAATGTTAGCTTTCTGCAGGTATAGTCACCTTCTGAAAGCTAACATGGTAAAGTGGTCCTTCGTAAAGCACTGAAAACAATAAATACTTATAGACCTCCGCATAAAGTTCAAGCAGTTATTTACCCACAAAAGAAAATCTTACGCAATATGCGAACAAGACAATGGATTCAGCTTTTGGAGAACGCAAAAATTGTTAAAAAAAAAGTGAAATGAAAAAAAAACCGTTAAAAAAGAACTCTCTTTGTGTGTATTGACAACAAAAACGATTGTGTGCGTGCATTTGAACGTTCGGTCAGTAAAGGTTATACTGAGTACCTAAAACGGTCACCCTTTTCATAAGTTTTTATGTACATACTGTAAAAAAAGGTATATAATAATAGTTATGGGTACAAACCACTAACCGCGTCAGGGTAGCTGCGGTAACGTAAAGCCGTATGAGTCATACAAATAATAATTACATTACAAATAAAATATTTTCACAACAATTAATTTTTTCATAAACACGTCATGACACATACGTACTCCGATGTCGGTTTAATTCATCAATACAGCGAATTCACTACTATCTATCGTAGATATCTTGTAACTAGATTAATATTCAAAACCTATATTTTTTTTTAATTATGTACCATTTTTTTCTCGGACACAAAAATCTAGCCTAAGATGGATTAAAGAACAGAAAAATTTGCTAAAAAATGTGTTTAGCTGTTTTTAATGGAATTATAGTAATGTTTTTCACTAAATATTGAAATCGTAAAAAAAAAGATACAAAAAAAAAAGTCAGTAAAATTTTGTATTGACTAATAACAAGTAGTATAAGTAGATAAGCTTAATCAACGATTACATTCTATATGATAATCCAATAATAGACTAATAATTCCAAAGAACGATTATTATAACCGTCAAAGAAATTATAGTTGACAAAATTCAACAGACAGACTGATAGTGGTGATAGCGATAAATTCAACTACTTCTCAAAATATCCAAACAATATGCGGCAGTATTTTTAGTAATTTGACAGATTTCATCTCTAGAATTTCTTTTGATAGACAAATTCGCTTGTGATAATGTCTGTCAGATACCTAGCGCTATGGAATTTCATACAACTATTTTCTAGAAGAGTAAGACTAATTTTACATCGCTATGACATCGTGACAATAATGTCATTGTATACATACTCTCCTCTCATATAAACGTGCACACACAATATCATAATATGTATAAAGCAAGCGGTAGTTATGGTTACAGTAGAAAATATTTCGCCAACTATAATAGGACACTCTTTCGGCGTTTCTTTAATATTGTCAGTGAATTTCTCTATAGCCATGAAAAGTATTAACAAATGACGATGTTATCGGTGACATGCCAGACGGTCATTGATATCTCTTAAAATGTGGTCGACAAATTTAAGGGAAATTACCGGTCTACCGCCGGCCCAGGGTCATACCTCGTTAAGCTGCAGGTGCTCTGCGAACTAGCAGTTAAACCAATTAAACATTTTGTTTCAACTGACCGTTTAGCAGACCGGTACACGCAAACGGCGTCCGTAGAATGTGAGCTGCGTCTTTCTCCTCCGAGACGGTTATCCGTTTAAAAGGAGAAACTTCTTTGCTGGACGACGCGCGCGGCCGGTGTCCCACTTGTCGGTTATTGACACCGATGCGGCGCGTAACGCGTGATACTTCTTAATAACACTATATTGATAATATTATCAACACTGAAGGTTCTTCATCGTCACAGTACTTTGGTACACGATCCACGACACTAGGTAAGCGAATTCCTACGGGGAAAACACTTGATGTCACACTCGACGCGCCAAAATAACACCGTTCGCCCGCACTAATGCCACCACTTTACCCAAAGCGAAAAATTTATTTAACGATTTACCAACGGGCAGAGCACTGCACTAATAAAACACCGCACGACGTACGAGATGTGTATAACAATTGACCCGTTGGGGAGCAAAAAAAAAATTCAAAACACTTCTCTGACGGAGCACCGGGTCGGCGAGTACCTATCACGGGGATGCCACGTTACCGTACTGAGCGCGCACGCTCTCCGCACACCGCAACAGGCAAACGCGCACGGCACACAGGTATCATAATAATAACACAGTGATGTTGTCGGTGGAGGAGGACGAGAGACTTCGGCGGCGGTGGTTAGTGAGAACGAGAGAGATACAACGTTTCACACACGCACTGTGCCGGACGGGTAGGAGGACGTCCCCGGCACGCCGGTAAACGCGTTACGGTCGAAAACGTCGCTGGGCGCACGACCCGGCAACGTCGCGCAACCGGTTGGTCCGCGTTTTCTACTCGACAATCCCACCACTACTCCTGCAGATACCACACGAACATATGGTAACTGCCACCGCCACCGCACTTGTCGTTCGATTACCATCGACATCATCATAAAATTATATTCTCGGTCGTTATCTACAGGTTCGTGTTTGTGTCGCTGTCGTTGTAGGTCATCTATGTGGCGGCGTTCCGACCGTCTCGCGAGCTCCTAGAATTTCGTACATCAAATTAACTGCCAAGGGAAAAAGAGAGAGGAGGTATTTTTATACACTCGTGTTTTTGAACACTAGTAAACACTGGTAAGACTGCCGAGGTCAAGAACTAAGATGGCGTGTTTTCCCTCCAAAAACATGTGATAATGGAACCCCAAGTATAACGCTCGGCGACCTTACACGTCAATTATGTTTATTGTTTTCAATACAATGATATCGACGACGAAGGACTGATACTCCGTCCGATTGTTGGTTTTTTGTCAGTGCTATGAGATTGTCCAAAAATATGTATTACGCTAATCGATTATTATTACGGTTTTCAGAAGTACCCAAGTACAGCCGACTGGACACATGAAATAGCATTGTGCTGCAGTAACCAAAATGATTGATAATGTACTCGGCAAGTGCCTCCAAACTAAATTGACTTGAAAGTTTTATGATGTCAAAAAGAAAAATCAAATAGAAAACGAATAATTCAAGATAAAATAAAGATCCTCTGAAAAATATTACTCGAAATACAAAATTAAATATTAAAGTAAGCTTATTGGGGTGATAAAAACATTAATTTTTTCTCATAAAATACTCAACAAACATTTAATTTATTTGAAATATTCAAATTTTTATATATGAACTCTAATGTAAATATAAAATAAGGACAATTTAATTTTCTTAAAAATATACTTTTGTGACTAAGAATAAATTATTATTCCTTGCAGACAATTTGGATCACGTTCGAGTATAGACATAAATCATATTACTTGTGTCACTTGTTAATAGCCGTCGGATAATTCATTTTCAAAATCAATGATACAGATACACCCTAAAATTTTAAATTATGGTTATCAATTTAATTTTAAGTAAATATCTCTATTAAACACTTTTAAAAAATTACTAAAATAACGTAATTAGTATTTACATGCGCCATATGCTAGCAATACTTTTGTTTCGTGAAATACCATAAAAATGAAAATAGAGAAATTGTAACCGACTAAATGACTATACGTGTACATTCTGTGAACTGTTATTGTATTATTTAGTAAAAAGAAAATTAGAGAGCGCATTTGAAAAATTAGTAAATTTGCACACGATACCCTGGTTATTGTAACAATACTATTTTTTATCCTAGGGATTATCTAACTTTTTGGACTTTAACGGTTAATTACCTGCTAATATAGCCAACTGTCAGTTCATTTGTCTCTTATCTAGTTTGTTACGCAATCTTTCCATCTCATGTAGTTTTTTTGTTGTACTCCCGTAGTGTTTTAAACTTTATTAGAATATGCATATCTTTTCAGATCATCATTCACCTTGGAAATCACTGAATAGTTTTAGGCTTTTATTTTGTACTAATAATTATCATAATTATAATTCTCATTGTCTGCCGTTATGTACCTGTACACAAACATCGCAACACATCCCGTGAGGTATATATCATTAATATTTCCTCTCTGAAATCTGCATGTTGATACCATACAAGTTTTATACATTGTAAATACTGTATACTATTTAGTATATGATTTACAATGTTCAATACAGTAACAGAATTAATGTATATGTTAGATACAAGTGAATATAACATTTTTGTAAAATTGGGATGTTTTTATAGGTGAAGTCGAGAAGTCATCTGCCACAATCTAACATTAAGTTATACGAGCTTGTTAAAAACAAAATTTATCTTAGATATGTTATCAACCACTGAATAAGGTCGGGAGTTAAGGATTAGGTATGACCGCTGGGTAGCTTAGTGGAAAACTTTCGCCTGGATAGCGAAAGATCTGGGTTTGATATCTCCAGTCTTCTAGCATAGTTTTTCCTAAGTTTCAGATTTTCTAACAGCCATTACACCTAAGTTTTCAAAAATATAATATAAATGTGTTATAGATAATATATATATGAAATAAAATATGTTTAATTCAAAGTAAATGTTTAATTTGTTGTTTTGACTTGTATTTGTTTGCTTTTTGTACTTTTCATAATGGCGCACGTTTTTTAAAAATGGGATTAGTTTTATTTGTTTAAATAATTAAACTTATTAATGCATTTACAACACATCATATATAAAAATTATAAAAAAATATTGGAAACTTTATTTCTTTAGAGCAAAACCTATTACTAAATAATTATGTACACATGTTTTCTGTCATTTGACAACAGTCAAAGAATATTGTAGCTCGGTTAACATTGACTCTTATATTTACATCTACACTCATATTTTAAATAATAATAAATGCATAACTGTTCATACAACAGTGAAATGTAAAATATTTTCTTTCATATTATTTTTTAAATTCAGTTTATGTTTTAGTTAACATTAAAATCTGAAAAAGATTGAATAAGTAATGGTTTAAAAAACAACTAATATCTACATATTATGTATATTTTAATTTTTTATTATACGGGTAAACCAAAATTACAAGTGCTTTTAAAAAGTAAAATCGACGTGATGTTACTAAATATTTTTTACTTTTCACATTTAAGTGCACACCTTAAAGTAACTACATTACATTTTACTTGTGTAATCGGTTATTGTTCACTTGTGTAGTATAAATAATCGAACAGCGATGTCCAATAGCCAAAGTATCTTATCTGATTTATTTTCTCACAAGAATTTTTACTTTAAAACATTGATTACATAGAAGGTTATGGCTCATTGTAAAAGTCTAGACATAGAATGCGACCCAATTGACATTAAACAGTGTAATTTGTTCGGCAGGGACCTGAAATTTATCGAGGGTTACTTAGTATTATGTCTATAACTTGATTATACAAACTTTATAGTTATTGTGGTAAAAATAGTTGTCATGAAAATATGTAGTTTAAACAATTTTAAAACAAATAACTAACTAACAAAAAGTATTATTGGTTTTCAGTATGTGTTTAGGGCTGAGTATGATAACATTGTTCGAAAATACGCATACACTCTATATTAAAATATTTTTTTAACTTCTAGAATTAAGTATTTTTAATATTTGTTTGTTTTGCATTAATATTTTTTTAAATAATATTTTTAATTTAAATTACTAATAACCTTATGAGTTTTACATAAATAAAACTGTACTATCAAGTATAGATCTTGACCTTTTTAAAAAGGGTCATTTCACAGTATGCAATTATGAGACCTATTTTTTAAATTTCTGAATGTGTAAAAAAATTGGTATTTGATACGGTGAAAACGATATAGCTAATTGTTATTAATCCAAACAAATGTAATTATTACAATGTCCCTGCTGTAATTATCATGTAAAATTTTTCTAAGGGAAGATCTCGATTGGTGTAATATACCTCTAGATTCACCACTATTAATATTAAATATCTACACCTATTTCTATGTTATATTGATAGAGGATACTAAACATAAAAATCCTTTTAATTAATATCATATGTTTTTTTGTGGTACAATCTGGTGATGAAAAATACGTAAATAATGATTATAATCATCCCGAATATTTTTCTCTTTTCATTTCACTATTAACACACTAGATAGAGCTAGGCATAACGAAATAACATAGTCACAATTATTATGTAGACCTAAAATTGCTAAAATCAAATTCCAGCACACAATTTCAGACAATATTAAAAAATATATATATACGAAAAATTTCCTTATACATATCCTCCCCATAAGATTGTATTTATATATATTCTACTTTTTTTTTATTGTTTGAATGTTTTATATGATATTTTAAAATTATTATATTCAATTTTACCTACTTTAAAAATAAATAACGTTTTATAATCTATGTCCTTTAATCAATTTGATCAAACTTTTAATCTGTATATAATAGAATATATATAATTTATTTATTATTTTTAGTTTTTACTATTACAAATAATGTATTTAATGAACCTACTGTTTATATATATTGCATATATAAAAAATGTAATAATTAGAAAAAATGATTCTGGTCATAAAAAAAATTGAAGAGATCATTTATTATGCTGTCGTAAGAATTTTTTGTTAATTAGTATTCGTACTAGCTAAACAATAATAAAACAGTATTTACAGAAATATTTATCACTATTTAGACTGGAACAAAACTTAAAAAACTGTTTGATTCTAAACTAATATCTTTTTAGTACTTACATACAAATCTGGACTAAATATTTTTATTTTCAGAAAAATCAACCAAAACCATTTTTTTAACAATTCGTACAATACTTGAATCGTATCATTAAATTTTTTTACCATCCCTTTCTAGAAAAAAAATGTCTATTGAGGTTAAATTTCATTTACTGTTCTCTTTAAAAAATATTTTTAAGTACTAATATAAATGTTTTTTTTTTAATTTTAAAGGAGCGCACAATCCTCTTTCCATCTTTCCTTATTAATTTCATATAAAACACTTTGGATGGGAATGTTATTATAAAAATATATATGGAATAGAGCTTCCTCTATTATGAAAATAAATATATGGTAAAGTTTTTGAGAGAATAGTAAAAAAAATGTCTAACATATATCACTCACCCTTTCTAAGACATAATCCTTAGTCAGAAACGTTCATAGAATTTTTCGTGGTGGCTATATAAAACATACATTTTTTACCACACTTGAATGTTTCTTTACCATATATTTATTTTCTTCACGGGGTACTATCTCCAATATACCCCCTGTAAGAATTCCATTATATTAACTCTTATCAATTGGGGCTCGAACCTTTATTTTTAAGAACCGGATTTAAATTTTATGAAAGAATATATCTATAAAAAACTAAGGTTCTAAACTCTGATATTCAAACACAATGTTGCTCACTGTGCTACTGCGCTCAGTACAATAGTTTGGTGATCATTGTACTGACGACCGACAAAATACTAAGAAAATTCGACTACGGTTTGATTATATAATTACATAGCCATTTTACATAGTCTATTGTATTTAAGTATATTCTGACATCGATTTCGAATCTGACTTCAGTTTTTTTCTATCACATCTAGTATTTAAAATAATTATTAATTAATAATTATTTAAAGAATTAAATCATTATAAAAACTGAAAAAAATATATATTTTTAACTTTTCTTCTATAATTTGATGACGTCAAAAAAGATTTGTGTAAAATGAAGGGCTTGTCCGTCAAGTTAAACCTTTTTATAGATCTAAAAATTTTAGATTAATGGTCGTCTTTCAGAAAAAATTTTAATTAAAAAAAATGTTTAACTAAATGGATAAAAAAATAATAGGATTTTATTCTTAAAATTATTTAGCAGACAATTTTAGTATCAAATAAAATTTCTTGTCAGCAGTGAAACATTTTATTAGTAAGATATCATGTCAACAAAAACCCAGCACAGTGGGGTCTTGACATAGTTGGGTCCAGTATAGATGATATCTGACAGTGATTAAAATCACTATCATAAAAAACGCCTCGATGCAAATCTGTAGATAGTGTTTAATTTATAAAAAAAAAATTTGTTAAAATAGCATATTTTTGAATACGGTGGCCTTTTGCGCATAGAAGATAGGTCGTCGAGACAAATTTTGTTTTTCATTTTATAGTACATAAAATAAGCTTTAATTTGATATATGTTTAAAGGACGCAGTATTTCCGGAACATTTTCAAAAATTAAGTTGAAAAGTTAATTTTTGTAAAAAAGTTGCTATTTTAAATCCCTCCCAATGAGCAAGTTAAGTGATAGATTTTCAAAAAAATGATATCAAACGAAAGGAAAATATCTAAGGATTTAGTATAAAAAAAAATTATGTTGATTTGTTGATTTTTGAAAAAGTTATGGAAGTTTTAAGAAAAAAAAGTGAAAAAAATGACAAAATTTGTCGATTTTTAAATTTGTAATTTTTTTGGATTTTCCCCCATTTTCGGGAAACGAGGGAATTTTTTTCAAATTTTAAGGGTAATGTCTCCAACTAGATACGATTTGTGATCTTTTGACGTATTTTTGAAAGAAATCGGTCCAGTGAGAGCTGAGAAAAAGTGGCAACAGACATAAAAAAAAAAAAAAAAAAACACATCATAGTAGAATTAATACCTTCTCAGCTTCGCATCGAAGCTAAAATATAAAATAATTTTAAAAATGAAAAAAGTTTGAAACAATAATAAGCTATTGGCATTTAATGTGAATTGCATATCATAATTTTATTTTATTTTCTTTGTAGAAATATAACAACATGTAAGATATATTGAAAGTTTCCTTCATAATATTCTATTTAATACTTTGTTTAGGGCATGCTTTGTTAACGCCATTAATCACATATCACACGCATGGATAAACTCAAATTATTGTAAGCAAAAAATTACAGTAGTTCATAACAATTTTGTAGTGTAACTGGTGTAATTGTCGAACAATAAATGTTCCTTAAATAAAAACCCTTAATTATTATGAATTTTGAATAAAAAGATAAAAATTGAAAAGTATTTTATTATCTCTTTGCATATATTTTTAATAATTAACATCAGATATTTAAATTTTAGCAGTATCGTCATGTAATATAATTTTGCATACCCACAGCACTACAAAACAATGACAAAATACTACTCGACATTTGAGATAACTCAGATCTAATTACTTATGGCCCATAGTTAAAAACTATCACAATAAATTCAACTTTTAAGAATATGAATTACAATTGTAAATCCACTACACGTATTACAATAAATGAACAATATTTACCAATTTGTAGAACTAACAAATATAAATACCTGTAATATTATCTGTCTATTGATAGCAATTCCATAATTATGAAATTTATCCAAAAATAATTATAATCGAATGTTCAGTTTTTTTCTGGAAAATGTTTATCAAACTTAATTCATTAGTTTATACAAACGCTTGAACTTAACGGATAAGCCCCAAAATGTATACTAACTTTTTTAAATCATTGAACTACGTATATTAGAAAAATTAAAACAATGTATTTTTGAGTTTTATATAATGACTTAATTGTTTAATTATAATTAATAAATTATAATTATTACTTAATTACTAATTAGTATCTCAAAAA